GACAATTGGTGGCTGACTAAATACTTTTTTGTCCCACTGTATGGCTCTGCTGTTGGGGGTAATCACAGAAGATGCAGGGCTTCACTCCACACAGCCTGCAATTGCCAGAATTACTTGTAGACCCAGAAGACTCCTCAACTTCTCTGCACCCTGAGGAGGAGCATTTTTTGGGGGAGCCATTTTTTTTCAGGCTTCAATACCTTACCCAACTCTTCCCACTTAACATCCAATGTGAAAAGCTACTCTGCGGAAATACAGAGCCTGAGTTATATTTTACTTGGCCCCAACGTTAAAATTGAAAGCCAGTTTGGTCTAGTGGTTAAGGTGCTAGACTAGGAGCAGAGAAACCTGAGTTCTAGTCCTGCTCTAGGCACAGAAGCCACCTGGGGGGCCTCAGCCCAGTCCCTCTCTCTCAGCCCTAGACAGGAGAAGGCAAGGGCAAGCTCGCATAATCTCAAGAAAGTGGCTGCTGTCTGAATAAAGCTGGTGGCAGCAATGCTGGAGAATGGAATGATAAGGCAAAAGAAAGCACCGAATAAAAAAGGAAAGACCTGCTCCCTTCAGTATGGGATACAATACAGAATTATCTTCTCAAAGGTTTTGTGTAGTATTTAGAGGAGGGAAGGAGATACAATACATGCTGTGGGATTTATTTTGTTTTTAGTAGAATCTCTAAACCGTAGAGACACAACATTAAAGAACAGAATGTATTAGAGTAGGATCAGAAATTTGTTTCGATCTACCAGAACTGGGGTTTTCAAACTTTTTCAGGCTGTGGTACCTGTTAGTTAAAAAGACAGTTCCTGGAACTGCTGATCAACAGGCAAAGCTCTAGCGATAGAAAATTGGCTGCGTTCAAGTGAATTTTAATTTTTGTCCTTAGTCTCTGATGAAACCCCATCAAAATACTGTGGAACCCAAATTAGTATTGAACGACATATGGCCCAATAAAAAAACAAGAATTAAATTCAAGATTTTGCCAGATTTGAAAGAGCGAGGTGGACTGGTGGCTCCAAACTTTAAACTCTGCTACTATGCTAATTGCTTGACATGGATTTCAGGGTATGGATTCTTTCTCCTTACAGCTTGGCTTCCTCTGTGGAAGTGGCAGGATTTTGAGACCATTTGCATAAATATCTGTGGGTTGATATAAACAATAAGAGATCATGCAATAATAAGTAAGGTATTGAATGTCTGGGATAAATACAGAAAAAGAAAAAACCATTTTCTTTCCTCTTTCTTCAATACTAAGTCTTTATTTCTGTGAAGAGGAAAGCACTAAGCAATTTGCTCAGTGGAGAGTCACCCATTCGTACAGATTGCAAGTTTTAATTATTAGTAAGTTGAAGATAAAATCTCAGAGCCTGTTCTAATTTCTCTGAAATTGTGTAGAGGATTCTTAAAGGATGGTGCCCAGAACTGGACACAGCTACCCAAAGCAGAATAGAGTGCAATGATTACTTCCCATGATTTGGAAATTATCTTTCTCTTGATGCAGCATGGAACTGCATTGGCTTTCTTTGCAGCCTTATCACCCTTTTGGCTCATATTCAGGTTACAATCCATTCCAACTGCAAGATCATTTTTATCAAGCCAGGTATCCCCCATCCCATGCAATTGATTTTTTTCTCCCTAAGTGAAGACCTTTGCACTTCCTTCTGTTAAATTTCATCCATTTAAGTGACTCCTTGCCTTTTTCAGAACTGCTGCGCTCCTGATCAGTATTTTCCTCGAACTTCCTTCCCCAACTCCAAGATCCTTTCCTAATCCTTCCCCCTCCATCCCTATAGATGTGAATTTGGGATTGGGTGAGTGTGTTGGGGGGGTGCAGTGTCACTTTACATTTCTGTAAACGTCCCGGGCTATTTTCTTTCCCCAAGAGAAGAGAATAGGCTTAGTTCAGGGTTGAACTGTGGAGTCCTTGGGGTACTCTGAGCTTGGTTGTTCTCCTGCAGACGTTTCGCGATCAGACCGGGTAGCGTCGTCAGTGCTGGGGGGAGCGGGGCTTGCTGGCTGTTTGTATGGGGTCCCTTGCCTGACAGCCTGGGTGGGGGCGTGGCTTCCTCCTTGCTGGTTCCTCCACGAGGGTGCTGCTTCTTCCCTGATCAGGTGCTGTTTCCTGCTTCTCTGGGGCTGGTTGTTAGGCAGGAGCAGCCCTGGGCTGTTTGTTTCCTTTCCCGACTTACGTTTTTTAGGCAGTCAACGGGCTTTATCTCTGTGTGCCCATCGAGGGCTGATCTGTCTGAAGGCCCACTTTCCATGAACTCCCAGCTTTGTGGGATTCTCCTGCCCGTTTTGCTGCACTCGGCAAGTTTCCCCCTCCCCTGCTCGCTTGGGGTCCATGGCCGGCCTCTCTCCTTCGTCCCCCAGCCAGAAACCGCGCTGGCC